AAAAAAAAAAAAAAACCCACTTAAAGCCGTGTGTAGATCTGTGCCCATTTGTACCCACAACGCACATATATAAAAATGGTCACATTCCCCGGTTAGCCATTTAATGCAAAAACTCAAAGTCTAGAAATAATCTAAAAATGCAACAAGCTATTAACTGGGAATTGTCTTTTGAATTAGGGCTGGCATTTTCAATCTGGGCAGATTTCCATTGTCAGCCTGTTTCAACAGCGATTTCACTGAAGTATATTCAAAAGTAGATTTCTTATACAAGACTCTCTGAAAGCTGTTGCCTTTCTCAAATAGGCCCTCTCCCTTCCCTCTCCCTCCCCTTTGCACAAGAGGCATCATTTCCCATTGAACCACTACAGCTGTTCCCATTTGAATCTCGCTTTCTGTGCGGTTGTGGATGGTTGGAGGGTGGAGGGGGGATGTTGCATGTCAAGGAATAATGAGCACAGACACATCAACAGACAACAACAAAGCGGACTGTGACTGGCCGATCGGAGCTAAAGGCCTTCAGTCATTGGCAGCTTAAGCCAAACATTCCCAAATCTATGAAGCGGGGCCTATTGTTGGTCAGTTGTTATTTGCAATGAAGCACAGATCTGATCATGTTTAAAGTGGCGGCACGCAGGGCAGGAGTGCTTGAGCCCAAGCAAAGGATGGAAAAAAAAATAAGCCTTTGTTGGGTGAAAAAGGCCTGTCTGAGACTTTTATTTCTGTCTGTTCTGTGCAACATATAAGTCAATATAGATAAGTTTTCTGCAAAGTTCAGTCAAAGGCTGGGGGTTCTGGCGGTCTAGAAGAAATGCTTGCACAGGCAGAAACCTCTGGGGACAAAGACACATTTCCACTGAATTGTACTCTGCTCTTTTGTTTTGTTTTGTTTTTAATCCCCAAAGGCAAGTGATCAGAAATACAGAAATTAATTGGAGGCTTTAAAAAACAGCCTTCTCTTTCCACGTCTCCTATTTTCTGGTTAAGGAGTTATTTCTGAACAGATCATTGTGATTCATCTCTGTGGCATGCTATATATTAATCATTTTATTCCACCAGAGTTACTGCACATTTAGAGACACCTTCCGAGGTTGAGTGCAGTTTTTTTACGTGCGCAGTTTTCGTCAACGTCAACCTTCGTGCACGCTCGCACACTTCTGCAGTGGCGCGCGCACGCATGCGCACTGTTGGTACAGTTGCCCGCGCAGATATTTCTACCTCCTGACATTTTGCAGCCTGTATTCCCTGAGGGACATGTACCCAGGGAACTGTCAAGAGAAGGGCCGTGTGGTGTGTGCTGCAGCTGCTGGCTGGCTCACTCTTTCCCCGCAAGGAGGGGCGGTTTCCAACTGGCTATGATTTGGGTCAGGGTCGGGCAGCCAGTCCTGGCCCAAGGCTCCGCTGTGTGGAGAGCACGGACTTGGGAGAACTGGGTGTGGCACTGGGGGCACAGGAGCTGGGAACGCGAGAAGGGGAGCGTCGCGGGAGCCGAGGGTCTGTGTGTGTGCGCTCGGGCACGTACACCTGTCCTCTGAGGGTCAGGACTGCCAGGGCGCAGTGGCGCAGCCTGGTTTAGTCTGAAGCATGGCTGCACGGCTGCAGAAGCTCACTGGTCCAGCAGGACAGAGCGGCTGCCTTGCCTCCTGCCCTCGCCCTAGGGAGATGAGCTGTCCTTCTGAATGGAGCTCCGGGCCCTCTCCCGGGGCCAGCACTGCAGGCGCTGTGTGGAAGCAGTGCCCTCGTTGTGGAAATAATTTATTTTTATTTATTTACTGATAGGCATATTTATATATTTATCCATGGGAACGCTGCAGGGATGCTTCGATGCCATCTTCCAGGATGGTGGCCATCTATCTGTCTGGGATGTCCTCAGTAGAATCACAAGACTAATGGCGTATGTTTTTCTCCAAACTTGACTGACTTAGACCAAGTGAACAGAATTAGAGCTGAGTGAATGCGAAACATCCAAATTACTCTGAATGAAAAACTGCTTTTTACTACAATGGATTTCCAGAATATTCTCCCCCCAAAGCTGGGCTTCCTAACTCTTAACTGGTAAGCAACTGGCTTCTTGCTGTGGCTTACACAATCATTTCTCCCCACCTTTTTTCCCCAATGAGAATTAGGTTTCCGAAAATTCACTCAGACAGTATTAAGCTCTAGCTTTGTTCTGTTAATTTTTTGCTATATAGGGTGGGGTCTGTATTCTTCTGCTTCTGTCTTTTTGCTCTGGGCCTTAATGTTAACAAGATTTACAAAAAAGGCTTTTCTTCTATGACATTTGGCTCAAGAAGGCCAAACACAAATTCTTCCCTTTTCTGTTTCTCAAGATTAAACCTCAAATGTGGTATTTTTTGTTTCCTTGTTTTTGTTTTTTGCCTGGTCCTGAATGATTTCACTTGCTCATTTTTAAACTTCCAAATGTAAGTACTTAGGGTATTTAAGTTCGGTGGTGTTGATGGTGACTATGTTTGGAAAGCATTAACAGGATGTTTTAGAACTGGCATTCATAATGGGCTCTAAACAAATGAATAGCCACCCCCCCTTCCCTTTTGTATGTGCATGCGTATGTCTGATTCTTTACAATTAAAAGACAGGGAATTGATTGCAGAGTGTTGCTTCCTTTTGAAGTGGTGGGTTTTTAAAAAAAAAATTTTTTTTTTCTGTCTAGTGTTAGTACTTGCAGACCCCAGAGGTAGAGAGAAAAAAGCAAATGGAAGAGAGGGAGAGAAAAGGGGTAACTGATGGCTACCAAGAAGAAATTCAGAAGGTCTTAGAACCTCAGCACCTGAGAACAGGGTGAAGCAAAGTATTTACCTCACGTTAAAGAAAGGCAAATCTAGTGTAAGGAATGAATATCATATAGGGTTATGAAGTTTTAGAAACATTTAAAAGATATGAGGACATTTCAAATACTGTGTTTGGCATGGTTACTGAAATATTTATATCTTTGAGACAAGTTGATAACTGAAAAAAAAATGTGTTAATGGAGTTCGTAATGTATCAAAACGGCCTATATACCTACTATGGCATTACTGAAGACCAGTATTTTTATGTAGTAAGTTATCAGCATATGGATAGTTGATAATGTTTTCAGAAGAAAGGAAAACACGTTCAGAGTGGGTTTTTACTAAGGGAAAACAAAAATATACATCCCTCTGTAGCTTATTTTTACAACGCCTGCCTAGTGAGTGAGAACAACAAAGCACTTGGATCTGAATTTTGGAAAGCCCAGCTACTATTATTGTTCAACATGCACTTTTACAGAGTTTGAAAAGTTTTTTTTATGTTTAAGACAAGGGTTCAAATATGCACATTCGATTTTTATGGTGTTTGTCTATTTGCATAGCATATACTAACTAGTAATTGGGTGTTCATTTTATAGACATGGTAGCCAGGGTAGTAAATCAATGACCTCTCAAGTATTTTGAACAAGCGATTTACATATCTGATGACCTCACGTTTCCTTGTCAGAGTCAAATGTTATATAACTGTTCCATTGTGTGTTTGTACAAAGTGAATCCCAAGATGGTAAGAAAAGGGTTAGAGTTATTACAATAATAACCCAACTAAAAATATCCACTTGAATTTATTCAGATTGTTCATAATGCTCTCAAGGGACATAGCGACGCTTTTGTGGAGTACCTACACATTATTTATTATCTATGGACTAAATTGATTTTTTGAAGTTGCTTTAAAATTTAAAAGCACTTTTGCTTAATATAAAAGCCCTTTAATTTTAACTGACAGATCAATTCTGAAACTTTATTTTGAAAAGAAAATGGGGAAGAATTTGTGTCTTTCGAATTAAAAGAAGTGAAAAAAATAAACCAGACATTCTAAAAAAAATAGAAGAAACCCGATTTTTAGTACTAATAAAATAGCGGGTGACAAAATAGTTGCCTTTTTGATTTTGATCACAAAAAATAAACTGGTAGTGACAGGATATGATGGAGAGATTTGACATCCTGGCAAATCACTGTCATTGATTCAATTATTCTAATTCTGAATAAAACCTGTATACAGTATGTGTTTATGCTACAGTGGGTTTTTTTTCTAAGTGACTGACATTCATCATATTGGTTAGACAGTTTTAAAAACCTAGTCTTTGTTTTCTACAGTGTTGTCAAGAGCAAATAAAGTATAATTTGTGGTGTATTACAAGCAAACTGCTTAAAAATGCTAGTTATAATTGCTTCAAAATTTATTCTAACATATCTGAAGATGTATTTTGGAAATTCGGTTTCTCCTAATGGATGTTGAACAGCTTTTTATAAATCGAGATTCTTTACTTGAATGCAAGTTACTTTTCAACCTTCACTTTTTGTCTATGTGTCAAAAGCTTTGAGAATATGGAACTATGATTCAAAAACCTACTGTTTTATATGGAAACTATTTCGATATACTATATACTCCAAAATGCACATTTATGTGGTTATAAATGTACATTCCCAACCAATGCCCATAACTCACAAAGGGCTTACCTGATGCAATGGAAATCTGAGTTAGTTCTGCCTTGTCTCAGACCTGCGTTCTGTGAAAATCTCTCGCCAGGCTTCAATACATGCTTTCCCCTAGCATTAATGTCGCCGTCAGTTTGAATTTCAATCCTGAATTATGTCTGTTGACGTAATTTCATAGTGCTGACTTCAATTGTTTAGGATTACTAAACAGAAGACCATCAACTTCTTCTTCCATGCTTTCTGTCACTCAAGTTCTTTATTTATTAACCACGATGGCAGACTGCTTATCTTTAATGGAATTTTAATCCTGAAATATTATTTTGCCTTCATCAGTTTAATAACAGGATGCATAAATGCAAAATCATTTTATAATAGTCTTCATATGTTAGCAAATGAGTTTTTCATTTTGAAAAAAAAAAAAACTTTAGCATTTTTGGGGGCAAGTGACTTTTTCAGAAATAAAGAGAAAATGTTTTTCATATGCAATTACAAAGCTCATACTGTTTTACAGGCTACCCGCCGTCATACGCACTTCACCATGAACTAAGTGCCTTAATACACGTACACTAATGACACTGTGAGGCACTTTGAGTTTTTGACATTTTATTTAAAAACAAGGTCATTTGTTTTCTGTAGATAGGGCATAAAACAAAATTTTCAAATGAAAGCATTTTTGCTCTACTCTTTCTGTAGAAAAGGTTGGTTAAGGAAAATGAAGAATGGTGGCCTCATTTTGCAATCCTAACTGTTTTCCAAAGATTGGAGGGTCAACTCATTAAGAAAAATATTTACATAAGCTATTAGCAGTCATAATGAGAGCGTCATATAATCCTGCGCGCAGCTACTAAGGAGGAGTCACTAGAAGTCCAGGTGCTTCTTGCCTCCGGCCATCACGCCACAGCCTGGGCCCAGCAGCTTGGAGGGCTCTGCCAGATCCTGTTTGCTCGAGCGGCTCACTGTGTCTGACAAGTCTGGAGGCAAATGCAGTCTCTATGGCAGAAGATTTCAGGAGAAGGAAAGAAGAAAAAAAAAATTAATTTTGCTTTAGCTAGCACACTTCAGAATACAATATTATGCTCTGTTGATCAGCATTTAGTCTTGCATATAAAATTCCTGCTAAAACAATTCTTCAGACTGAATGAAGCCCAAGAGAATTACATTTTATTCCCACTATAGGTTTTACAAATTGTTGCCGTTGCGGAAACTGGACCAGGGATCTTAGGGCAACATTTCTGGAGTCCAAACCTAAACATGTTAAGATGTCTCTTATTTAGGTCCAAATGAAAACATGTAAATGCATACATAAAAGGCATACTTGAAAAATAACACTGTTACAGTAATGGCAGGGTTGGTCTTTGGCTTTGTTTTGTTTTTGCCAGGATTCCAAAATGCTATTTTTTAATTGACTGTAGCTTCAGCTATTATGGATTCCTACAAATGCTTATTTCCCTTTGTCTGTTAAGTTGACCTGATGATTCTATTTCAAGGCTATACTTTCTTTAGGAACTTAAAATTTTTGTAGAAATATTGACACAGTGAAAAAAAAGATACCAATCAAAGGGTCAATATTTTTTATATACTCAGGTAAGTCAGCTATGATATCAATTTCAGGTCTTGGTAAGTTTGTTTCTATGCATGACATCGGTCATGTTTTGAAAAGTATAGTTTAGCTTTGAACAGCTCCCCATCTTAACTATTCTGCAGAGAGATGCGGATTCAAGCAGATGCAGTAACTGACCATAATTATACAAAAGTTACTGTAATTAAGGAGAAATACTGATATATATTAAAAGAACTTTTTTGGGGCACCTGGATGGCTCAGTCAGTTAAGCATCCGACTACGGCTCAGGTCATGATCTGGCAGCTGGTGAGTTCGAGCCCCGGGTCGGACTCTGTGTTGACAGCTCAGGGTCTGGAGCCTGCTTTGGATTCTGTGTCTCCCTCTCTTTCTGCTCCTCCCCTGCTCCTGCTCTGTCTGCCTGTCTCTTGAAAATAAGAGAACTTTTTTGGTTTTCAAAAGGATCTCTATCAAATTCTTTTAACTGTTAGTTCCCCAGCCTATTCAATTTTCA